ATGTAATTTTTGCAAATGTCTAGCATTTCCTTTTTTTATTGTTTTTGTTTCTGTTGAAATTCTCTTTGTGTTCAGACATGTTGCCCACATTGTCTACCAGATTTTATCATAGTTAAACTAAATTGTCTGTCTCATACATCTACTATCTGGTCCTTTTCTGGTTTTCTAGTTCTTTCCCTACTGATGTTTCTTCTTCCTCAACTGTGGGTCACATTTTCTCTTTTTGTTTGTCTCATATTTTCTAAGAGACGTTATGTGTAAAAAGCTGTGGTAAATATTCACCTGAGAGAAGGGCATTACTCCTTCTCCTGCTAGCCCTCTAGTGTGAGAACTGAGGAACACCAATTTGTAGGTGAGTCACAGCTAATCTAAACTAAAGTTGTTGCTCACCACAACAGTTTTAACTTACACAGTCTTAAAATATTTTAAGAGTATTATTAGGATTCTTCTTTCAACTAAGCTTGATATATGAATACAGACAAATCTCCAGGGATTTCTTTATCCTCTATAAGGCAGAAAAAAAGCTCTCTAAATTTTGTATGATATAAGGTTTAAAATTTAAGTACAATATTATGTGTGCTTTGACATATGAAACCTGTGGGCCTCAAATGGCCTAACCACAAATTGCCTTCCCCACTCTGCTCCAGTGGATAAAGTCCCCTGGCCACAAAATCCTCCTTATCAATTGGACCAGACATAGTTCCTGCTTGTCCCTGAGAAGTGGGTTTCAGTTCCCTGACAGCCTGTAGAATTATTCAAACAAGCCAACTGCATCCTCCTGTGGGAGCGAGGGGCAGCCAACACTCTTGATATCACAAAGTATTCCTCTTCCAAACCCTGAGTATCTATTCTGTTCCTGAATACAACCCCTGTATGGGTCCATGTGGTGTGTGATGTTCTTCTCAGATCTGTGAGTATATGTGTAAACTGCTGCCAGTCTCATCTGTTCAGTATTGGATTTCATGTGTTCAGTCATCTCCGTAACTCTACTGTGGGAATTCTCTCTCACCAGTGGGGCAAAGAGGAAGTGATTAAAATGCTGTGGGAGATCATCTACTTTACAGTGAGAAATATTTTTTTTTAAGTTTTGGTGAGTTCTCTTTTTTCCCCAGACTCACCTTTAGATTTCTACAGATGAAAATATCTCTTCAACCTTTTGCCTTATCTCTAGTCTTGGCAGAACTACTGAAGATTATTTAATGAACATCTGGCATGCCTCAGAGCTCTTTTTTTTTCTCTACTCTGATTTTCTTGCCTTTTACCCACCTTTGGAGAGTTATGGCAGTGACTCAGTGGAGTCTTCTTGATGATAAAATTTCTGGTCCCTCTGTTGGTCTTCTCTGACATTCCCCCAGGGGAGGCATGGGGGCTGAGGCTCTTTGTTACAACCTTGTAAGGCTGGATGTCTAAGCTCATTCAGCCTTTGTTCAGAGGTGGAGTAGGACCACATTTTTTCTGTGGTGTTTGGTGGGAGTAGAGCAGTTGTTTTCTAAAAAGATTTCTGCTTTTCTAAACTGACCATTCTCTGGTCCTTTTGGATTTTTTGGGGGGTTATTGTTTGTGTCATTAGTGTTGCTAGTTTGCCAAATACTCCAGCATTCAGTCTGAGAGATATAAGGCAAAAAGAACATCCAGAAAATTCAATACTGCACTGTTCCTCTGATCTCTTAGCTAATTTGTCTTCTTTTCTCCACCTTTAAGAGGCTTCTTAAGTTTGCTTTACATATAGTGCCCAGGATTTTTATATGTACTTATCAGGAGGAATAGGGAAAAGTATATCTATTCCGTATTTCAGAAGGAGAAATCACTAATGATAATCACTATGGACAGATACAACTTTCACAAGGGAAATGAAAACATTGTTATTTCTAAAATGTTCAAAAAAATTAGTCTTAGAATTTTGTTTTCCACAGTTATTTTTTCACAGTTCCAATTTATGGAGGGTGCTCTAATGAAACACTACTTTAAATATTTTAAACTATTTTGATAAAATAAGAATTTCTCATGTGAAAAGGGAAGAAGCAATTAAGAAATCTTAGTAATCTAGTGGAAGTTATTCCATACTTCCAACATTTTATAAGGGATAATAACTGCTTTAAATAATATGGAGTATAATCTACAAATAATGAAATCCTCAATCTAAGATTCTTTTTTAATTCCTGTATATTTTTGTTTTGACTTAATGAACTTTTTTCTAGTGACTAGAAAATTATGTATTATAAGAGAAAAAAGAAAAAGAAAATGAACCCATTATTTCATCATCTAGAGAGAACCAATTTTGGAACATGTATTCAATCCTATGTTAAGGTACAATTAAAAATAATATAAAAACATCCTGGTAGCACATAATATTATGAGCTTCATAGTTTCTTATAAAATTATTCAAAGTAAATAAATGGTAATAGGGTAGAACATAATTTAATATAAACAGTCTAGTGGGCAATGAGGGTGTAGCAGAATGATGGGGTTCAAGTATACAAAATGTGGATGATACAGTTTAATTCAAGGATGGTATTTAGAATGGCTAGAAGAATGAACTAAGTATTCTTTAGGCAGTAATCTCAGGAATATTATTTTTCTTAATTGCTATTTGATGAGTATTAATCAATCTCAGAAAGCAGAAATTTGATGTTAGACATTTGACAGTTTCTGGAGTACAGATACTTTATGTTTCCAATCAAAGAATGATCCATACACTTAAGGCCATCAGATGAGCTGGGGATTCCCTGGGGAGTTACAGCAGGAGATGGCTTAGTGGACTGATAATGTGCTACAGAACCTTTAACCTATTGATCACAAGGTTACTTTAAGCTAGGATGGAGGTAACCAAAATTCATTATTGGTTGATACCTTACAAGATGAAATGCATTGCTTAGCTCAGTTCAGTTTTTATTACCATTTGAGAGCTATTTGTTATCAGTTACAGATCCAATAAGTGAACCTTTACCACTAAAGTTCAGTTGTACTGAACAGGTTCAAGATTTTTTTTTTCAAGCCATAGAAGAAAAAAAACCTATTTAAGCCCTTATTCTGGTTGTTTCTTAAACTTAAATAGAAGAGCCTATTCATCTACTTTTACTAAATCTAAGGAAATGTATTTAAAATTAAAGAATAAATAGAAAAATTTTATTTTGGGTTTTCTGATTACTATGCCATTCTAAGCCAAAGCTAGTTGCTTGTGTCTTTTCCAGATAAAGAAGCTATGATGTCTTTTTCCTAGTATCAAAAATCATGTTTGTGTTGTGAAATCATGCAGTTGCATTGTTCTTGGTAGTAACTAATCGCTGCCTGCTTGTCTGTGCTGGACCGTTTTGCTCTCTCACTAATGCAAGGTTCGTGGGATTGTTCTGTGGTATGTCTGAGAAAAAGATGCTTTGTATTCCACGTCAAAGGCAATGCTGTTGCTGCTGGTTAATGTGTGTCTTAGCTTAAATAGCCTCATGTTATCTACTCTCTAATATGTCAACAATATGTTCATAGAAATGAATGGCAAGGGCTAAGGGAAGAAAAATTATTAAGATGAAGGAATTAGTAGTTCAGAAAAAAAAAATTAGGCCTTTTTTCAAATCCTGGTACCCTATATCCAGGACTAGGGACAAGAGTATATATCTGTAATAATACATAACCAAACAGGCACAAGGTTTCCAGTTTTCCATTTGTGAAAGGAAACAGTCCATGGTTGAGTGTTTAACAAGAGCAGTTGACAGAAAGATTAATCACACATGTATCTAGCCTTTATATAACATATAATAGACCATAAGCAAATTAAAAGCCAAGAATATTCTTGGTTTATAACCTCAGCACCTAAAAGTGTACCTTGCTAAGACTGACTGAGAGTTTGGGTAATTACTGACTGACTGACTGAATGACTGAATGAATGAATGAATGAATGAGTGAATGAACTGTTATAGTGTGTTATTTATATGTTCAACGAGTCTGTTATGGAATTTTTTTTACAGATGAGAAAGCGTAATTGAAGCCTGAGAATTAGGGATATGCTGGAGAAGTGAAATCATAAATCCCATGAAGCATCTCTGCTAGGAAAACATCCATAGAAAAGTCTTTGATCACTTTTTGTCTCTATTATCTGTGACTAGTATAATTTTGCAGTATAGTAAAAGTACAAAAACATTATATATCATCCCATTTCATTTTCATGTGACTCCACTTTCGCCTCACCCATTACTTACTGGTAAAATATTAATTCTGCCAACCTCTAGAAAATCAGGATTAGAAACAGGGGTAAAGTTCTCTTATTCATCCCATTAATTGTTTCTGGTAGAAGTTCTGAGAGAAAAATTTAAAGTGAGTTCCTTCTATATCTGTATAATTCAATAATTTATGCTTTCCTCTGTGGTTATTACTTACCATCATTGAGATTAACTTTAAGAGAACTCTATGTAATGTTTGAAGTTTATTTATAAAAATAGGAATATATATATATAAAATATATATACATATATATAATATATAATGTTTATACATCTATAATTCAGCCTGGGATGTATAAAAAGGCAGAGACACTGTAAATTAGTTTTTGTTTATGTGTGTGTTTTGGTATAAGGACTTAAACAAAATGTGCTTCTCTGGATGGGGCACAGTGGAAAAGAAATGTCACAAATTTTTTTCTCAATTTCCTTGTATAGTAGAACAAAATGTTAAACTCCTTGATTCAGCCCATCCAAACAAAATTCCATAGCCTCCATCATCAACTAAAGTTTATCTTCAAAATCAGCAATATATGAAACACAAGTGGAGCTAGGAAAGGAAAGTTACTTCATGTTTTCCCCATGGGTTTTCCTGATAATCATTGCCTGTGTTTTCCCATTTACCCGTAGCTTCGCCAGACACACTTCACTGCTTCCCTAGAGCACCCTACCAGAAGTCAGAGATCACATAAAACCTGCAGAAACAGGAACTCAAACTTCCTGAGTCCACTACAAAACACAGAAAACCTGTTTCCTCTACATATCTCAAATTGGCAAAGCTCTGTCTTAGCAGATTGAGTGTGGAAGTAGCTGTCAAAACGGCTAGAAGGGCTTTATCCCCCAATTTCACATGAGATTTTTTGCTTCAAACTACTGAGATGAAGGGAGCGAGGCTATTTGTCCTGCTGTCTAGTTTATGGAGTGGGGGCTTCGGTCTTACCACCACGCAGACCTGGACCACACCTGAGGATGAAAACTCCCAGAAGAATATGACCTCTGCTTGGGTTCCTCTAAATAAAACACGAAGTCTCCAAGTGTTGCCAACCAGTCAGATCACGTCAGTGAAGATAGCCCCCACTCGCGAGGCAAGAAGCTCTGAAAAGACTCTTCTAAAATCAACGCTGCTGCCCTCAGAGATAAGCCTACCTCCTGAGAGTGTGAGAAACCAAACCCTCACACCCACAAGGAAGACAGAAGAAGGGGTGCTCAAGTTACAAACTCTTGCCCTCCCGACCAAACCCAGCGTCAGGTTTAGTACTGGAGCAGAGTCGGTGGTCCTTTCCAACGCGACACTGACATTTCTACAGAGCTTTGCCAGGAAGTCGAATCAACAAGCGATCTCTCTAAACTCAGATGGAGGCACGGGAAATCGAACCTCACGGGAAACGTACCTCAGCCGAGGTGACAACAGTGGAAGCCAGAAAAACAACTATCAAAAATCAAGCTTTGAAACAACTAGAGGAAAGTAAGAAAATTATTTTATTTTCTTCCCTAATTATAAGGTCTCTAAGATTGCAAGTAACAGTAAACTCTCACTCTCAGAAAATAATTTCATGTTCTAGATGAAACTGATCACATTTCAGTTAGATAAGGTAATTAAGTATTACCTTATCTGATAGGGAAAAGATGCACTGACAGAATGAAGCTATTTAGTTTTAATTTAAGTGGTCAGGTCACTTAGAGAGGAGCTTTTACTTGGGATATATACTAGCAAACAATGTAACACCACAGTGACTGCTGGTTTAGTTAATTCAACTTGAGTATGTTTTCTGTGCTCAGAGCTACACCCACGACGATGTGGGTGAATAGCTTTAAAGACTGAAACAGCCTGGTTCTGTGGAAAGTACACATAGTTAGCAAGATCAAACCAAAACAGAGCTGAGTTGGAATCCTGGCTCCAGGACTATCTAGATTTTTAACTTTTTTTTTTTTTTTTTTTTTGAGG